GTGTGTGTGTGTGTGTGTGTGTGTGTGTTATTATTGAAAACTTTACCTTCCACAAAAGCAAACAGTTGCATAAGATGAAAATATAACCAGCGCCAATGCAACTCTCGCAACATTTGCTAAAGTATCATTGGGATCATAGTTCAATAATATGTCTCCCTTGACCTTCTGTCCAAATGTTAAGTAGGCAAAGCATGCAGTAAGAGAATATGATGTACAACACAACATCATTGCCATGAAACAGACAATAGTAAAACGAGGCAGAGTAGGTCGTCTTAATTCTGCATATACTGATACTGCTTGGACATGCACCTAGAGGAATAAAGGAAGGATCGAGTTACGTGGAAAGCCTTCAGGGATACAAGGGGATACAAAGAATGAAATAGAGTACTCAAGTGTGACGTCAGAAAAATTTCAAACCTTTAGAAAAGAGCCGAAAATACAGTGATTCGTAGGGGGAAATGGCTATAGCTCAGCTGATATTTGACCAATTCTTGTCAAATTTGGTGTAGACACCTCTTTTTTGATTGTCTCAAGAAATTGGAAACTAAAAATATGACAAAAATCAAATTAATTTTTATGCCATCACTTGAGCACTATACCAGGAGCATTTTCCAGATGCTTGAGTTGGCTACATTAGACTAGTTTTTACATATACAATTGTAAAAAGGTTGTGGCACGAATGCAGTCATGCATACACTGGAGCAATTGCATTGCAATTATTCACTTGTCCAAACAAAGAGGCAAAACATGGCATGTACACCCCAGGGGGTGTACTCGGGTGGGTAACATGACGGGGAGGTCCGACATATTTTTTTGGGTTGACAATTTTCGTTCCTGGTAATTTTTTGGGTCAAGAGACCAGCCAAGTATTTTTTTAGGTCTCAAAATGAAACCTGTATTTTTTTGGGTCGTTACATCTCCGAGTTCAATTTTTGTATCAGAAAATTATTTGAAGAGCCTGTCAAATTCAATAAATCAGTTTTGAAGTATTTAAGTCTTGTATTTTTTTGGGTCAGAAACTTGGATGCCATGCATTTTTTGGGTGTAAAATTTCAGGTTTGAGTCTTTTTTTGGGGGGGGGGGGAAAAATAAACCCCGCCCACCCCCCCCCCCCCCCCCCCCGTCATGTTACCCACCCGAGTACACCACCTGGGATGTACACAGTGCAGACATGTGATCACACCAAGGTCACAGCCCTGCTAGACCAATCACCTTGCTCATGAAAAGAGGTTTGTTAACAAGTGAGCAGCTAGACTTTTTCAAGTAAAAAAGGATAAATTACCTGATAACCAAAGCAAATAGTTGGAATAACAGTAAATAGCTGAGTCCAAGGTCTTTCAACACTAGAATATTAAGAAAAGATTAATCAGTCATTCTAAACTTAGGTGAATTGCCCGAGGGAGGGGGAGGGGGGTAATCCCCTATATTTGCTATACAGGTATGTGCCACCAAACAGGGTATGGTTTTCAGCAATTCTACTGACTGGAACAGGGTAAATAAAATGCGCTCACTCTAGCACACGGAATACCGGAACAGGGTATGATTTTCAGCGATCTTGCTCTGGAACAGGGTATGAATTTAAGCGATTTTACTCTGGAACAGGGTCAGGGTTCAGTGGGTTCAGCAGCACATCCCTACCCTAAAAGGGCAAGAGTACCCCCCCCCCCTGCCCCCCGGGTGAATTGGTAGCAATTTTAGTTTCAAAATTGACTACAGACTGTATAATATTATTTTAAAATTGACAAGCTAAAGGTGAAACTCTTTACTTACTGTTCCTGGAATTCAGTTGCTCGGTATGTTCCACGAAAATATTTAAAAATAGCAACAAAACAAATATAAGCAACACCTAAGCTGCCCAATGTGCTGTGAAAATGAAAAGAATATAATTTTTTATGAATCATATATCAGGTGATAATAAATTCAGTGGCAGATTCAGAAGGATTTGAACGGGTTGTCTCTTTTTTTTAAAAAGATATTGATCAAAGCATCCTTTTTTTTAGCATTATAGGTCTTACCTTATAAACGTACTGTATTTTTTTTTTTTTTCAACTCCAAAAGGTGATCTGACTAGTCACCCAATCCCCACCCCACAGTCCTTGAAATTGCGGTAATAAAATCCTTTCATAACAAACTTCAACACCTGGGCCCGGTTGTACGAAGCCTGAATAGCGCTATACGACAGATAAATCTTATCCAGTGAATGAATTTATTGCCAGGATAACAGCATTGACTTATCCACCGAATAGCGCTATCCAGGTTTCGTACAACTGCAGGGCCCTGGATTGAAACATTTTACTCTTACCATATAAAATCCTAGTCAAACATTGAACTTCACATGAGCCGAGTAAGTCTTCTTACTACTACTGTACTATCGTTGAAGTGCAACCTGTCACAAAGCTTGATGTCTCGTAGCTTTGCCAACTACAGCATTTGGCAGCCGGGTTTTTATTACAGTTATTTGATTGACAGCCATCAAAATTCTAGTAAGAATACAAGAAATCAAGCTTCTCAGGTTGCACTTCAACAATATTTGTAGGAATTTAATGCCATTATGTGTAGCTCATGTGAAGTTTAAAATTTGTATTCGGCTTTAGCTGGGCATATAGACATGTATTAAACTAATCAAAAATTAAATCAACTTTGTGGCTGCACGTATACTCATTCATAATGGATTTTTGATGGGTGAAAAAAAAGTCTAATGAAGAGGAAATAGTTTTCTTTCTTTTGCTTTCCCAATCAATCTTGAATACAACCTCAACACCACAAATGTGAGCTTCCAGAGGTATGTCCTGGTSTCATAACAGCTTACCTAGTGTAGCTAAGGATTCCAAGATGTTTTGGAAGGCAAAGTGGAAGAATGAATACAACTGCTACGAATGACAGCAAGAACTTTCTGTCCAGATACCAATGGTGCTCTGATGATATCGCTTCACCAACTATGACACAACAAAACATGAGTTTTAATATAATATGTAGGCCAAGCCAACACATGATATTCTGATCTAGTGATCAAGCACAAAACAATCTGAGGAGAGGCTYCCTAGGAACTTACATTATTGTTTCACAACTTGGTATGAACTTTGGGACTTCAAAGTGGAATTGGTTAGAGATCTTTCAAACCAGGGCCGTGCCAGACTGAAACATTTACCAAGGCAATTGACTAGCTAGGGGGGTTTGGGCATCATCCCCCMAAAAAAATTGAAATTCAGACCATTGGAAAAGCAATTTCCAGCATTTTGAGGGACATTTGTGACATCTTACCAAGGCAACTGCATTGTTTGCCTCATAACGGCTAGGGCCCTGCAAACTGATAATACTGTTGCTTCAAAAAATCATCAAATCTAAAGTTCAAGGTGAATTTTCAAATTGAGTTTTGTCACAACAAAAAGAATTTAACTTTGTCTGGAATATAATTTTAGAAAAGTATTTGGTTTAGAGATGAAATTATTATAAATAAGTCAAAAAAAGATATAACTAGCTAGAAACTAGTGTGAGCTGCGTCGGTGTTTCTAATGAAACAGTAATGATGAAAAGGTAAATTATACACCGTGAAAAGATGAAAAAACTTACTGACGTTTCGGACGCTAGTCCTTCGTCGGAGAAAAAAAAAAAGTCAGTTCATTGAACCAAGTTCACAATGAAGACCGCAAGTTGATGTCAACATGAGAATTAGGAAACAAACTTTGGCATCTGAGCAGCTAAATTAGTTTTGTGAAGGCAACCGTAAATGACAAGCTAAAGATTGCAATCGACCACATATTGACAATTATGCCAAATCTTCTTTAATAATTCACCCTTTCTCCAAAAGGCTTAAAATAATGGCASAACATTGAAGAATGCCCGGAAAGAACTGGGACTTTTCTGGTCAAATCTTTGCCTTGCTGGTCATTTTGTCCAGTAATGTTTAGCCAGACACGAGGACGTGAGGTATAACTGAGCAAAAACTAATTTGGCCTGAGATCATGACTAGTGTTGACTGATTGGTCATTATTAGAAGCCCTATCGATCTCCAGGACACACATATATATATGCATATACTAACTCACCTTTCTCTAGCTGATCAGCTATAAGAATCAAGTATGCAATCCCAGTACCAATCATGTAAAGCAACACACATATCTGGGTCAAGAAGTAGAACTTCACACCAAGGATATCTCGCACTATGTCTTGGTAGTTTTGGGCTCCACTTTTATCAGCACAGTAAGCCAGTATTACAAATGATCCGATTATAAAGGATAACATTACCTAAGGGGAAAAAAGAAAGTTAAGGCCTTGTGCATCTTATGGTATGACAAGAAAGAGGATGATGGATGAATGAGGAACAGATAAATCAATAACCAAAAAAAATAATWATTAATAATTTAACTGGATCTATGARCTCTATGCACAAGCATGTGCCCACATGCCAAGTCAAATTAGATTTTCATTTCAGGTCTCAACTACTGTACTTACTGGAATAGACCAGTAAGCAGTTGAGTAAGATAAAACCTTTACTTTTGGCGTAACGTTTTCTAATTTCAGAATACATGATCACACTGGTATTTGCGTATCTTCTCAAGTGCAACCGATAAACAAAGAAATGATGATCTAGGGAATGACAGATGGTCCGAAATGGGAAATCATTATGCCGAAGGTTTAAAACTATTTAATTTACAGTTTTATAGGCAGCCTGGACCTCTCTTAAAGAGGTTCAAAAATGTGTGAGCCACCCCCTCTTTTTCCCCTTCTTCCTCACATTTACCACCCACCGGATGCCCCCCTTTATGGCACTTTATGACTTTATGACCAGTCCCTGACAGATTACATCTATCAGGGGCATAGCAAGGTCTTGATTATAGGGATTATAAATTTTGTCCAAGTTGCTTGGAACAGCATGCCATAGAGGGTGACAACCCATCTGTGGCGGAACCGGCTGCTGACAATGCAGGAAGCAAGCTTTTCAGGGGTCACATGCCCCCCCCTGTGTTAGTGACATCTATCAATGCATGCTGACAAGAGAAACCAAAATCATAAGTATAGTTTTAGCTAAGGATTAGTTTATTTGGATTATCATCCATGTAGTTTCTATAGTTAATACCAGTTCCTCCTCGCGCCTCGTCACATAGGGCCATTCAACTTTCTACAGTATTAAGAACCAAATCAATAAAAATGTTGTGTTGTATAATGTATAGAGTGACTGGAATGCATAAAGCTGAATGACTTTGATCGTCTGATTGCTAGACGATTAACTAAATAAAACTCAGCGTCAATGAAAACGAAAGTTTATAAAGCTGAATGACTTTGATCGTCCGATTGCTAAGCGTTTAACTAAATAAAACTCAGCCTCAATGAAAACGAAAGCTCATAAAACATATTCAATTATATTGGATTATGAATTGTGAAATTCTATAATTGAAAAGTTAAATTCAACAGTTTCCAAACTACAGATAAATCCAGAAACCTAGTGTCAGCTTATCGGCCATGCCTTGCTGAAGGCCCAGGAAAGAGATAAAAATGTCAGCAAATTAACAATGTGAACTCACCAATTGTATTAACATTCCACTCTGAACACCTCCAGCTTTAGCAAATGCTTGTGGAAAATTCAAAATCCCAGCTCCCATCGCCGCATTCATCACTACAAATATTGCCCTAAAGACAGGAATACCTGGCTGATCGAAGTCCTCTTTGGACTTCCGCACCAAGTATTCAGACTCAGCTATCGATCTCGATGGATCTTGTGCTACTGGATTAAGAGATCCACTATACACTGGTCTAACTTGCCCTTTTAGGAGGGCTTCAGTTTCGGACATATTAACACTGTCGGTCATAATAGAAAACCGGGTAGAAAAACAGTCTTCAACAGGCGAAATCAGCAATGAAAGCTATCGCCACGATTTAGCTTCAAAACCGAACGAAATTTGAATCAACAGCATGTATCTCTTGGTTAAGTATTTCTGCTATGATTTATAATGCTGTTAGCTTCTATTACGGCTATCTTGAACAATTTCTTGCGAAAGAAAAGTCTAGCTATTTTAACCGGTCTGGGCTGTTAGTTCACGTGACAACAAGACGTGACTTCTTGCTATAACTGGTTCAGTCACGAGGTATGTGTATGTGACGTAATACACGAACTATTTTAAACGGAGTGGGACATTATACATGATTCATTTTGTATGGTGCCAAGGTTACAGTGATTTTTAGTCGCCTGAGTTTTTAAATGAAAGAAGTTGTGATAAATAACCAGGGGAGGAGAGGTATATGAAGGTGTGGTATATCAGTGAGGTGATTCCTTTGCTTAGCATTTTTGTCTGGACTGGAGAGTTTCATATGTCATGTAAGATTGGGAATTTATAAAGTATCTTCATTTTGCTGGATTTTAACATAGTTCTTAGGCTGCGTTCATAATGTATGGCAGAGAGGGGGCAGGTGAAATTTAAGGGGGATCGGAAAAATTGTTACCAGTAAAATGGGGGGGGTTTGAAAATTTTTTTCAGAGAGTTGGGGGGGGGATGCAAAATTTTCAGAAGAAGCTACGAGAGATTGCCTGGGGGGATAGTTATTTTTTGGGGGACTTCAAGGGGGGGTTTTAAGAAATTTTTTTTGTCATTTTTCTGCCATACATTATGACCGCAGCCTTAGGCTTTTTTTTTTCCTCATCAGCTCATATATWTTTTTTTCCTCTTTGCTAGCCTATCAGTAGTAAGAGAAAAAAAGACATTTCAAATTTTTTCATGCTCAGAAGAAACCTAGCCTACATACATCCAGTCTTTTCTCTGTCATGTCCATGAGCAATCTTGTACCACATTCCATAGTCCTCCAGCGCTTTCCTGGGTCAGYGTGTAACAGTCTTACCCAGTGCAAGCCTGCTGACCAAAAAGCCGGAAGACTCTGGCTCAAGATTTGTCCAGGAAGCTACAGAAACCAAACAATGGAAAATCCAACGTTTTGAGTTTTGAAAAAAGCGTAAACAAGACAAAGTGAATCTAGCTGACGAAAATTGATGGTTTTCATGGYGGCCATGTTGGAGGAACTTAATAAAAGAATTGTCAATGAATTCTTTTGTTATGTCCTCCAACATGGCCGCCATGTCTTTTGCTATTTAATTYYCATGGGAATGGTTGAAAACCATGAATATGTAATAGCTTTGGCATAACGTATTTTTCATTTCAGACCATGTGTCAAGCAAAGAATCTTTATTCACAAGAAATACATCTTTTTGTTTAGTGCCTAAAAAAAGAAATAAAACTCATGACAATTTCCTAGTTTATTTTGTATCACTTCCCTATTCACTTCACTACATTAAAATCTGGAAAAAAATATTTATCTACATAACAAAAATTGTACAAAAATCAATAATACTGTAGTAGCACCTTGTTTATCAGAGGCTAAAATTTCTAAGAAATAGGGTGAGGAGAGATATCTTAGCAGTTATTTATTCCAGGGGCGGATCCAGGATTTYGTTCAGGGAGGGGTGCTGCGCACAAAGTTAACCCCGCGAGGGGTGCACCCTTAGAATCAAAGGGAAAAAACAGTATTGGTTATCTTCGAAGTAGGGGCACAAAGTGGAACCAGGGAGGGGTGTGCACCCCTTGCACCCCTCCCCTGGATCCACCCCTGTATTCTTCATAGAATTAACCATTTTTGAGTTCATAAAATACTGTCATGTTCTTTGATTACATACTTATTCACTCAGAGTTAGCCTCAATTAGGTGTCAAAATATACACAAGCATTAAAAAAAATAAAGAATGCATAACTTAAACCATACAAACACTTTGAAAATATCACAATCCCACAGGTCAAGAACACAAATACTTCACATGCCATCAAGGATAAGGCTGAGCGACAGATAATAGTCCCCTTCACAGTTCCCTGCGCCATCTTGAAAGGTAGCCGTGCCTTTGCATCAAAGCGAGACGAACGGTGAGGTTGCAGTGATAGAGACCTGTGAATAATTGTCCAAGCTGTTAAAAAATTAGGTCTCTATCATTGCAAGCTCACCGTTTGTCTCGCTTCGATGCAAAGGCACGGCCACCTTTCAAGATGGCGCAAGGAACCATGAAGGGGACCATTCAAAACTGGAATATTGAGTATAGGGTGGAAAGCAAGGCTCGCAGTCTGACTGAGTAAACATCATAATATGCATCTTAAGTATTTTGACACAAATGAATATAACAAATCCTGCACACTCATTGGTCACAAATCACTTCTTCTGCTGCTATATTCACCTACAGGTGAATGTAATGTGTGCACGCGCACACTCGTTGTTCAATCTGTGCTGCTTGCAGAGACAAATAGAATTTGAACCACAAAAACCTCTCTCTTCACTATTTATTAAATTCACTTGTGTTAAGAATACTAAGATAATTATTTGCTGAAAGCGAAGTGAATATCAGGAAATATTTACCTCGCCGCTCGCTTGCGTCTCAGTAAATATTCCCTGACAATCACTTCAATTTAGACGAATAATTGTTAATTTCTGGTAAAAAATTTAAAGGAGTATCACACACACAGCAACATTTTTTGTAACAAACTATAGGTTGCCTCCTGCAATTCCAACATGCATTTTGGCCTTTTACCATATCTGTTTATGGGAGAGGTATAAATATTTGTTGGGAACCCCACGATTATCCTTGATTCTTTTACCTGAAGTCCTCAACTGGATTTTCAAAAAACAAATACTATAAAGACTATTTAGAGTTACAAAATTCGTTTGCATGTTACATCATTARTGCAATGTTGGTGGTATTAAACAATTGATTTCTCATTAGCATYCTTAATTAATAGTGACCTTTAGATATGACGACGAGTACAAGATTGAGTATGAGATCGAGTATGAGTACAAGTTTTAAAATTGGTCCTGTGCACGTGGTTAACACTAAGTCGTAGTCGATTTCCGATTTTTTACAATCTAAAGTTTCAATCTACGTACACGGTCACAACTACAAAAAGATAAGTGCCTCTCTTTAAAAGTTAAACACTCGTACTCATACTCGTTCTCGTACTCGTCGTCGGATCTAAAGGTCTCTAATACCACCAAGATCRCTACCATGTCTTTGTCTCTTGACTCTATTGGGATTGATTGCATTTGTAAACAATGAATACTTGAATCACAGCTGGTTAACTTTTTTTACTGGATGGAGTAAATTGATAGCAGATGAATAAAGAAACCACACAAGATAATAGTCCCCATTAATACCTACTCCCTACCAACAAAGTTATTCATCTTCAGCATCAAGATTAATATTTTTTCCAAACTTTGCATAAAGTTTGACTTTYAGCTCATTGAGTATTCCTTGGATTTCAACTGCCTGTTCCTCGCTGATCTTCATTTCTCCTTGTAATTTTAACTTAGATTTTTCTAAATAATCTTGTACTTCTTCTGATGATAAATTAACAAATACCTCACCAATTTTGTATCTTCGAAAAGTTAAAGAAACAAAATGAAAGAGCRATAAAGGACAAGAAAGCAATGGCAATAAATCTGCAAATAGACCTTATTTATTGTGGTATAGAGTGGTATAGAGTGCATTGTGAAACTATTTTCGGGGACAATTATTTTAAAGTGGCATCTATTTTGCCCCCAGGACAATCCCACAATGCACTGCTATGCATTTTGGCCCCAGGTTTTCCCTTGACCTAGAAATGGCCCATATGTTCATTATATAGCCTAGAGTATTACTATATCCATATAATGCTACAGGGCCCGGTTGTACAAAGGGAGGATAGCGCAGTCTGGCAGATAAATCTTATCCAGTAGATAAATCTAATTGATAACAGCATCAACTAAATCCACTGGATAAGGATTTATCTATTAGATAGCATCATCCACCCTCCCTACAACCTGGCCCAGGTGTATATACTACATAATCCACACTTTAGAGCTGTGTACTGTGCTCTAAGTGCTTTCAAGAGTGATGTGACAATAGTACCTTCAKCTCTCACATCTCTGGGTCTCTGGCTGTATTCCTGGATTCTACATCACAATGTCATGTCAGGGACGGATCCAGGATTTTGTTCAGGGAGGGGTGCTGTGMACAAAGTTAACCCAGGGAGGGGTGTACCCCTTAGGATGAAAGGGAAAAACAGTATTGGTTGCCTTCGAAGTAGTGGCACAAGGTGGAACCAGGGAGGGGTGTTTACCCCTCCCCTGGATCTGCYCCTGCATGTGATCACAGTTTCTTGGCTCTATTTTTTCTAGGGTTCTACAGTTTTCCTACATTTATAATTCCCAGCAAACTAAACTCCAATTTCATCAATGAGGATCTATCACAAAAAACTCAGATAGTATAGTGTTGTAGAGGAATAGTAAGAGGGATTCTAGTCAAATTCAAATTCTGGTATGCAAATTCATTTGGCTAGTAGTCATGTCCTACGATAGCATATATTATACTATTATAAATATTTTTGTGCATACAATAACGAAGCATTGTTTTAAATATGACGAAAATTGGAAAGCAACCGAGTGAAATCTTGGTGGTTGAGTGGTTAGGTTTAGGTCGGGATAGGCATTGTAATATCATTATTGACGCCGAGGGTGCTAGGTTCGAATCTCGTCTTTTTTTCACATTGTGACAAGAACAAATATCCTCAAAAAAGTCCCACTCGTGTGTTTTCAGAAACCTATGACACACTTGGTTAACCTGTACACCACGATGCTACCCAAAGTTTACTCATGTGATGCAGAGTCCAGGAATCTAACCCGAGACTAGAGGTGAGAGGAGAGTGCAACTGCTACTACAACACCCTTGATAATAGTTAATCATGGGTTGGAGATAACTGGATGGTGGTTTGAAGTGTAAAAGGATACGGTATAAGAGCATTTTCATCATCTAACATCAACAGCTCATCACCAGCATCTTCCAGGTTTTGAAGTTCTTTCTGAAAAAAAAAAACAAAGAAAAAGTCCAATTCATTACTTTTTCTCTCGAATGAGAGCATAACAGCTATAAGAGAATAAAATGACCCATAAAGRCAAATTATCGTACCTTTTTAGCTTGAATATCAGCCTTTAGGTCTTGAAGTCTAGTGTTTTTACGTGCAAAGGTGTTGATGCTTTGCTGGTCTTCATATGTTACATTYGTGTCTTCTACCTTTGATGAAATCTTTTCAGGAAGAAAAAATTATCTACAATATTAAACGTGCCCTAAAAACCGAACGAAGTATTGAAAAATCAAGATTWAAAAAGCAAAATGTTCAAAGACCTCACCTTCGCTTTGGGCGCCGCCATCTTGGTTTTCGTGATAGTAACAAAATTTCTAGTGGATTTCCGCTGTTCGTTGTTATTGCAGGCTCAGCTCCCTTATGATTGTTTAGTTTAGTTTAGTTTATTGAAATTCGTCGCATAGTACAGTAGTTCACATCAAATGCAAGAAAGAAAACTGAAAAAAATATTAATAATAATGATAATAATAATAATAATAATAATAATACAACATTGATAAAAGGTGACTGGAGAAGAAAACAGGGCGTTATCCCAATTGAAATTCGACCCCTTACATAGTTTAGAAAAACACGATAAAATATGTAAAGCTTAAGACTTCAGAAAAAATGTATAAAGAACAAATATTATATCATATCATATAATGCACTACTCTAAAGCGGTCGGTACTAGTAAGCTTAATTTTGTAGTCAAAATGACAGAACCGAAATTGACGTAGTAGTCAAGCCATCAAAATCAACTCGATGGATTACCCGAATTTTTCTTTCGGTATATGGTGCTCCGCTGCATAACTTGTTTATCCAAACTAGAGCATCCAGCTACGAAATATGAATAAAATAAGATTTCTCGAACGTACATATTTATTTGTGAAACCTAGACTTGTGGCCAGAGATTTGCTCGTGCCATTTGGGACACGTGCAGTGTTGTGGTATCTGTTTAAAACGTTTTGTGCCGGGGGTGCAGCTTGACGGGTTAGCAAACTACACATTGTTGTCAGTCTTAAGAAATAGATTGTTCTGTCAGGCAGGTGCTCGCTATTCCAAGCTCCTTTGTTAAACCTCTTTTTAGCTTTCAATGTTACATACATGTACATACTGCATAGATCAACCTATTGCATCAATTAAGACGAAAAGGCAAGTCATTTATCRGCAGTACAAAGACTGTAGCGGTCCAAGGATTGGCCCTTGAGGAACTCCAGTTCATATATAAGATGAGTCATACCGATCATTTAMCACAGCAACAGCTTGCTTGCGATTGCTCAGATATTCCTGGAATCACTTAAGCTTATTATCAGCAATGCCYAAGGTTTCCAGCTTCAGTGCTGGGGTTCATGGTCCACTACAAAAGCAGCTCCCATCAAACGTCCTGATATGGCTGCTGATTCAGTTGAATGATGATTCCGGTAGCTAAGGCCATTGTCATGGGCTCAGTACTATTTGGTGCTTACTTAGAAAGCAATAAAGTTKGGGAAAACGTTTAGCTCTTTATCTAAAAGCTTTGAAGCCACAGGCAACGCAAAAATGGGCTTTTTTAAACGACCTTCTCAAACACACCATAGAGTTTCGAATTTATTTTTGAATACATTCACGCAAGATTCAAAAGGGGGAATGAATTGAAAAATCCAATAACGAATCGAATAAGGCAGTCTTAGGGGGCACGCCTCATGACCTTTGACTTGAAAACCAAATTGAAATAAGTTATTTTTACATTTCAAGAAGGGTCTACTTCATAAAGGTTCTAGCTACTTCACAAACTAAGTAGTATCGGTGTAGGTCCTATAATGTTTGATCTAATYACTAGAGGACTACCTATAACCTTTGTTATAGGACTCATGGGTGACGTATAGTGGTAAGAGCGCTCGCCTCTCACCAATGCGACCCAGGTTCGATTTTCGCACTTGTTATTTGTGAGTAGAGTTGTTTGATGGCTCTCTCCTGTGCTTCAAGGGGTTTTATCCCGGGTGTACATTTCCGGTCTTCCTCCCTCTACAAAAATCAACTTCTCAGTTCTGATTCGATCTAGAAAGGGCCTAGATGAAAAGAGAGAAGCGAAGAGAGGGATCCGGAATTTCGGAAAGAAGCACGAAGGCAACCCAGCACACCACAGGGCTAACTGAATTCCCGCAATAGCGATGTGCGTGCCGTGGCATTCAACCACTGTCAATCTAGCTCTCTAGCGGTGTACTCGAAGAAAAATAAAACTCCCTTGCTTTCATT